AAAGAAAATATCATTTAGATTAAGACTTGAACTTTTTTTTAACTTGGTAAACCATAATTTTTGCAAAAAAATAACACTATAAGCAGGGTTGCACATTCAATTTTTGGTCTGGTTCTCAGGGGAGAACCTAGGGTGCTCACATTTTCGTTCACTCATCACATTTATCTATAGGGGGTGTCAGGGCATCAACGTCCCCCTGTTCTGTTTTATGACTCCTATCAGCTGCAACGTCTCAGAACATCATGCCAAATCAGTCCACTAAGTTTTTATTTGATTCTTTTACTCTGCATAAATTTTGTAAACTAAGTGGCCGAGGGGCTGGGTGTATGTCATATAAACATCACAAACTGAACATTTCATGGTTAAATGTCTTTTAGACGACACATGTCCCTCCGATGGACAACTCCTGTACTTTGGCCTTCTAGACCTTTGGCTTTGGTTAAACCAGCTTTCCACACTCTCCAGTCCAAGCAGCAAATATCTGTCTTTTACACAGAACAAATGTTTTATTTGTTAGACTGATTTATTTTTTAAAAGACTATTTTATTCAAAAAGATAATAATATTTAGATGGTTTCAGCTCGTGTAGTTATTTATTCTTCATATTTGACCATTTAATAAATTACATTTATCCCAGAAAAGCTGTGTCACAGTATGGTCCTAAATATAAATAGGTTTAGCAAATCAAGAACCTTGTTTTTTTTATATACAATTGTGAATGAAATATGTGGATCTTTATGATAAATTAAAATAACATTTAAAACTCATTCACCTATAGAGAACATGGCAGGTTGTTTTTATTTTTAAAAAATATAAAAAAATTTTTTGACGGGGGTGTTAAATAGAGAATAATCTTTGCTTTGATATGGGGCAAACAAATGTTCTGTTAAGAGTTAATGTGGTTTTATTAGAAGAACTCAAACAGTGAATCTCACAGAAAGACTCATCCTGCACGCGCAGCAACATTCTCCCGTCACAGATGAGGAGCGTGTTTAGTCACACAAAGTTGGACAGATCTGTTTGATAACGACGCTCTGAACATATRTTTAATGTAAAGTTATGTTTTACAGACCAAAGTCTCTGGTAGCTCAGAAACAAAGTGCAGGAGGAGATGCTTCAACCTGCACTTCTGATGAAAAAAGCTCTGACTGAAAATCCCGCCCTGCTCTGCTCTGATTGGATAAAATGGCTCTGGACTTCGTCTGATTTGTTGAAGGCAGTGTCCGTTTAATCCTTATACTGTATCAGGGTCCCGCTGTCCTTAGAGGCTTTGTGAGCACTGAACAACGATCCAGTCACACAAGTGCGGCTGGATTTTATTTTATTTTTCTATTAAGAAATCAGGTYGCATTTGCGACCAAACTAGTCACACTCTAGAGCCCTGCTAGCTGTTGTTTTGACAGACAATCTCAGGTACAATCTTAGGTACACAAGTGAGCTTYATGGCGTTCCATCTGGTGCGCTTTTTCTTTTTTTTATCGCGCATGCGCACCGCTTATGTGCAACCCTGCTTATAAGTTACAGTAAAAACACTGTGGGATGTGTTGTTTTGCTGTGAAATACAAGCATTCTCAGCTARTGATGCAAAATGCTCTAAATTTAGTTTGAATTTTATGGTCAGGTTCTGTTTTCTAAAAGCAATAAAAACAAAAACGAGGTGGACTCTGTTCTACTGCTTTGTAATAAATCCATCAGAAAGAAGAACTGGAGAGTGTAAAAGACAGTAAAAGTTGTTTTTTTGTTTACTATATCTGTTGACATAACTCAGATTTTTTTTTCAAACACAGGCTCAGAACTAACGTTTAACGCAAAACATTAATTCAAAAAGTTTGACATACTGTATCTGTAAAAGAAATCAGGCCAAGGTGTCACAGTTAACTGAATGTGAGATGGTATCCTGAGGTTGATGGTTACGGTAATAAGCTTCAGTTGAAAAGAAAACAGGCCAGTGAAGACAAGTTATGTGAGTCAATCAAAACAAGTCTTAATATAAAAAAAATGGCAGGAAGAGAGATGTACTTTGATAGGTAATTAAAGGATTTCCGGGACTAGTAATTGCAGAAACCCCGTTTTTTTAAAAGTAGGATTTCATAAAAAACACTAAATAAAATTTTAAAGTGATCCTAACAGACACACTGCTACAAACTGATATATTTTATAATTTATGTGTTGTAAAAAATACTAATAGAGCAATCATGTAATTACGGCTGCAACAACTAATCAATCAATTCAATAAAAATAGATTATTAAAAGAGTTGGCAACAAATTTCATTATCGATTTGTTATGAAGGTATAATTTCAATGATTAAGTTTTAATTTGCTGACAATGTCTGAGTAAAGACACTTGCCTTATTTACTTGCCTTAACCTAATRCTGCAAATAAAACAAGGCATTTATTGAATTATTGTAATAAGCAGCTGTCTTGACTATTCTTAAAACGATCGTCGCTGACRTGATAACGTCCATGGTCAGAGATAAATAATTCACTAAATAGTTAAAACTTTTATTTCAGCTTACACTCGTCCCTCAAGAACACATTTTACAAAGCTCATGGACRGAAATCATGAAGAGATTTTCAAGGACATAGCACACATTTGTGTATATTTTTGTGTACATTCATTTCTTTATTAAAGCTATTTGACAAATATTTACTTATTCACGCATTACAGTTTAATTTTATAGTAAGAGAATTCTCAAACTGCAAACTTTTTGCGTGATTTGCCATATATGGAATAAAAAGGTCAAAATATTATTTCACCCCCCCAATTCATTGATTAATCAAAAAATAATTGAACGATTAATCGATTATTGTAATAACTGTTAGTTGCAGTCCTACATATAAWATTGCACCAGCCACAAAACTGCTGACATACATGTACAGCTTACAGATGGGCTGTGTTTCCTCCACACTGCAGTAAAGCAGTGAAACTGGTTTCAAGCAATGTGCTGCAGCATTTAGCCACACAACCTTTTCAATACCTGCTAATCCAAAAAATAAAAAAAAAATTATTACAGAGTGAAAATGTGCTGAGTGATATGTGACATTTTACAAAAAATGCTTCAGTGTTGCGTGCTCTGATCCCTACTCACCACTCATGCCTTTGTGGGGAACACAAGGTGTCGGGGGATGTCTGGATGCAGTGGCCAAAAGTGGATGCAGAGGCTGAGCATCTAGACTGGCCAGACGTTCTGCACTCAGGTCTCCGGCACAAAACCGTACCATAGTCTGGCTGACGGATGAGTTGATCTCCAACATGGCTGCCCATTAGGAAATGGTCATAGAATTCAATTAGGAAGAGAGGACACAAATTATTATCTAGCATATATACAGCATAGTATTTTTTTTGTGATTTCCTTTGTATACAGCTAAACCTGAACAAAAGGAGTTGTGTGTTTGTGGAGTTGTAATGTTATCTAGCTTTAGATGGCACACGATGAATTCCTAAAGTGATGTGATCACACAGCAGGTCTCGACATGTTAAAAATAGAGGTTTTCTTTAACATTCTGACTGAATATGATTTCACAAGGCTGACCAGCAGACCAATGTTTTGATAAGAAGTATGCATATTTGGGGTGACCAGTACTTTAGCATCGAAATACAGTTCTAATGTATGTTTTTATAGATTTATAACTCAAATTGTTATTTCTCTGCAACATGTTTAGCACATTCTTACCATCAGCAAGCTCAGCTCCAAACACAATCGCCCGTGATCCTGATACCCCAAGGCAGTGCAGGAGCGAATCACAGCGGAGACTGAAGTTTATAAGGGCCGCTTCTACGCCGACTTTGGCCAAGCCCAGCCAAAGTGCCACATACAAGGGCCGGCTTTCCATGAAGAGGGCCACTACATCTCCGGCGACCCATCCTTGACTTCTTGCCCAGTGACCTACGGCATTAGAGAGCTCGTCCAGCTGGGTAAAGGTCCACGTTTCCCCAGTGGCCTCATAGATCAGTGCTGGTTTATTGGGGTGGAGTTTAACTGTCTGGGCGAAGATGGAAGGGATATTGCTTCCAGTGCGCATGTAACGCCACAAGGCCAGCTTCACTCTCAGCAGCACGTACAGGCCACTGACCAAAGTGGGAGAAAGAGAACACATCAAAGTTGCTGAGTCCCATGCATCACAACTTTATTTGAACACAGTTAACTTACTTGAGATCTCTCTTGGCAGTTCGTGCTGCAACATAGAAGTATTTCCAACTTCTTGTGCCCAGATATACCCCTAAGCCTGCTGCCAGACTCCAGGACCAGGACACCCCAACCAGACGCAACAGTCCCACAGACCCCAGAGAGGCTGACACACTCGCTGCATTGTGCATTCTTGTCACAGAGCGAAGGAAAAAAAAAAAAAAAAGGATGGGGTTTCACACAATAATGGGCTTGAGATAAAGCCTACAGGGTTTCCACTTAGTGAAGTACTGCAGTGCAGACTGGTACACACAAGTACACATAAAAAACTACAAGTTTATAACTATACAACAAAACAAAAAACACATTATTTGGTTACTACTACATTTATAACAAGGACTTAGCTGGCGTAATAAATATTAACAGATGCCACGCCAGATAACATTAGCTCTTACCGCTAATTTACAGCGTGAATTACATAAACTTACCTACGAGTCAATAATTTGACACGATGTCACGTCTCACCCAATAAACCCGACTGTAGGCAAAGTTACTTTTTTTTTTTACTTTTAAGCTTTGAAATTGTCCTCCCGCTGGAGAAAGCCTCGAAAAAAATAAGCAGCCTTTTGGGTGAAACCAAGAGTTTAGAAGTGTTACAGATAGTTTTCGTAGCTGTCAAGTAGTTCAGAGTTTACAACATATGAACGGTATAATGGGTTAGCGAGTCAGATAAGATGGTATTTACAAGGTAGTCCGAATAATTAGAACCTGTACGGCGGCAAAAATAATAACAACCCTAAAGAAAATTGTAAGATTCGGTGTGATTCAGGTTATTTTCTGTACTCCATGTTGAAGAGTGTGCGACTGTCTTCAAAGCCCCGCCCACCCCGGGTGTGAGCCGTGTGGAGCAGCACAGCCATTGGTTAAATTTAAAGCCCGTCAAACAAACTTAGATTTTGATTGGCTTATGTTAACCACGCCCAGTTGCTGAACCAACCGATCTCTAGGTGGCTGCTACTGAATGTAGGACAAATCCTCAGGACACCGGCTGCTCAGACTACTAACTAAATATTGTGAAATGTAGTTTCAAGTGCCATTGCATATTCAGTCCACACAACTGCTCTAACTCCAGGCATGCTAAATATGTACAGTAAAGTCCAAATAGGAAAAAATACACGTGTGTATATTTTTAACTGAACACACACATACAAAAAATAAAAAATAGAGAGAAAAAAGTCCAAAGCTTTCTCTCTGCARTGACAAAGTGCCATTACATAAGGGTCTCTCTGCGACTGTCTATAAAGGAGGTGCTTGGTGACATGTAGTTTTGACTGTAGAGACCACAGCAAAGCCTTGAAAGTGTTGTCCTTCTTATTAAGATGTATGCCCAAGGGTCCAAGATCTGATTCCAGGTGACCAAGCGTAAGCTCTGAAGAGTAAACCCATTATCCTGGTTGTCGGGACCCCAGAGCTGCTTCATAAGAATGTTGATCTGCAATATGAACAGAGCACATAATAGTCACTCACATTTAATAAGCACATCAACCTTGTTGAATCAAACCACGAACTTAAAATGCAAAACATATCTGCTAATATACATGTTTATTGAAACAAATTATGCAAATTAAAAGAGTAGTAGATATACACACAAGAAAGGGGCCCCAGCAGACACAGGACACCACAGTGACTCCTGCCAGCTGCACCAACATCTCCACATCCAACGAGCAAAAGATGGAGGAAGTTGATGTAGATGATGAACGGCGAGAACCTCGAGCTGAAGGTTTTGTAAAACAGTTTCCTGTCTTTAATCTGGCTTTCAGCAATGGCAGGCCACTCAGGATGTTGCAAAGCAGGGACAAAATGAGTGCGGTGAGGCCCAGACATGAGAAGGCCAAAACTAGACTTTTGTCAGCTGTAGACTGTGAGTCTTGAATGGGCAAAAAACACCACGTGCCAGGAAATTGGGTTGTATATTTCCCCACAGAGAAAAAAGGTAACAAAGCTAGCGTAAGTGCAGAAGAGATAAAAAGTAACATCCCTCTCTTTACAAGAGACATTGAAACGTAAACATGAAGAAAGGGTCGATTGATTGCCACCCAGCGCTCAACTGCCATGGCACAACCCAACAGCAAAGGACATAAGCCAAAAAACACCATACTTGCTCCAAAAATATTGCAGAAGAGCACACTGGAATTCAAAGATGGCATTTTATACCTTGCACTAATGTGTCCATACAATGCAAAGGCACCTAGGATGAAATGACCTCCCAGGTCAGCCAAAAGTAAAGCCACTGTCAGCAGAAGAAATGATGCTTTGGCCTGACCTCGAAATCTGCCACGAGCCATAGCCAGGAGTCCCAAAGCAGTGAGGTTGGAGATGGTACCAAATATCATGGTGAAGCAGGACATCAGTAAATGTTTAAGAGGAGGGGAAGTCGGGTTGCTAGTGACGTTAGAATTGGATTGTAGTGTTGAGTGATTAAAAAATGAGGTCACAGGTACAGGTGCAGTCATCATCTTCAATGGGATCTGCAGAAAGTTAGAAGTTTAAATAGGAACATTTGTTAAAATTGACTGATAATAGACTTTTTTTTGTTTTATTAGTATTTGTTCTGTCCTTTTAAAGGTTTCTCAAGCGTAAACGAAGCTGAAACAACTGACACGTTTGTGCAAAACTGTACAAATAGCTCAAATGATAYATGTGGGCAGAAAATTAAAAGCGAGCACATTTTTCACTAAAGAATAACACAAACATGCTGAGAACACATCAGTGCGTGTCAATAGCTTGGTAATAAAATGTTTGTTGTTGTAGACATTTAACCTTCAGTGATTCACACACAATATTTTCAGACTATACATTTTAGTGTTTTTTTTTCCTTGCGTCATTTCAATTATTTCAGCACATTTACTTTTACACATTTGCTGGGGCCCCTGGAGTCAACATACTTTTCGTACGGGGGGCAATATTATAGGCAGAAACATGGGTGTGCCATGGGATCCCAAGTTTCTCCTATTGT